TCTCAGAACAGAGCATCCATGCCCGCAACCTAATGACGTCCATGGTCTAGTGCGTTCTCCCAACAGAGCATCCATGCCCGCAACCTAATGACGTCCATGGTCTACTGCGCTTGGAGAACAGAGCATCCATGCCCGCAACCTAATGACGTCACATGTGCGAGGGAACAGCTTCCGGAGTAAACGTCCTTATTGAAACGCCTCGATGTGTCCAAAACCCAAGCCGCAGCGCATTTATAACAGTTTTTTTCGTAGTTTCCGTGCCTCAGAGTTGTTCACTCCCCGACATTCCAAAGCCTCAAAGTGCTGCAATTACCACGTCATTCGGCTTCGCCTGCTCCTTTGATCTTGGAAAGGCGCGCGTTTACAGCACGTCGGAACGTTGTTTCAGGCATTTGATTGTTCAGTGCACTCTTTACCGGCAAAGCAAACGAATTCAAGAATCTCGAGCATTCAGCCATTGTTTCAATCACTTGGGTTTTATTCATGAAAATGGAGGAAACCGCATGTTAAGTTTTCCTACAACAGTGTGAACGACATGTTTTTTGGACAGATCATCTTCAATGTGAATTTTTACTGAAAGAAATGAAAGATGCCAAACAAGCACACCATGATGTTGTCTTTATATTTGCTGTGTTCTCTTTCGTGCGTGCCCTTCATAACAGCGGCAGCACGCGGGTTTTTCAAGTTGTGGCCTGCAGACCTCCGCGTTTGGCGCGAGACTACTGTGTCTCGCCCCGTCGCCGTCAAAAGCTTTGCAACGTCACCGACCAGGCACGGCTACCTATCAAGAGCACCATCTTCGAAATCTTGGTTGTGTACAACATGACGCAGATGCTGCTGAACACGTGTCTTGGGCGCAAGAACTTCCAGGTGTTGTCCATGGGTGTGCGGGGTGCCTTGATGACGTGATCATAGAAGCATGTATAGCCTTGGACCCGAGGTATGTGTGTGTACGAGTGCTGCAAGAAGCCTGGCTGTGGCTTGGTATTTGCTAACCGCTTGCTAACTGGACCAGGCCGGTCCTATGAGCTGCCCAGACGCGTGCCCTTCCTTTGTGGTCTGTGTTGTTGTTTGCAATTTAAGGCAAGGGTTCAGCTATCCGTGGGGCAATCAGTTTGTCTACACGAAGGCAGGCGGGTGATATGTGAGGCGTAAGGTTGCAGCAAGACTGCGCATGCTTGCCCCAGACTGGTCCCAGTGGCAGAGTCGTGTAGTTCTTTTTGCTAGGAGGGCCACCGCCTTGGCTATTTCATTTGGTTCCACTACCACTGCTGCCAGCTCGAGCTGTTGGATACGCCACTCTTCACAAGCCGACTTGTAGCATCATCTGCTCACTTCACACCAGAATTGCTTTGGTTTCGGACACGCTTCGATGATCGGCAGCACACAGAAACTTCTGAGGGTGTTCGTGGTCATCCGCAAGCATCCTGGCTGGAGTAACAGCAAAACACTTTCATGCAGTTACTCCTGCAATTGAAAGCAGGAGCTCCGATACGGTCTTGCTGCAAAGAGGGTGCAAAGTCCTAGGAAGTTCCAAAAGATCACGTTCCTCCACGTGTGGTGCACAGCTCAGTTTCAACGGGCCACTGCTTTCTCACCCGACCTTTAGATTGTAAGGAGTCCGCCCTGTGCTACAGGCTGCGGCTGCTGAACATGTGGGGCTGGTTCTTTGCGTGCCGCTATGCCTGCGGTGGTGACACTTGGAAGCGTTGAAATGCCTCCATGAAGAATGGCGCAGTATGGCGCGCTTCTCGCAAGTGACAACAGACAGCAATATACATTGACGCAGAGCAGCACGTCGGGGCTATCATACCAACAAGTGGCAGAGCCTTCTAGCCTGTGCTGCCTGTTGCAAGGACACCTACTTTCCAGCTGCTGTGAATGCTGCCACACGGGCCGCTGCTTGGTTGGCAGATTGGCCGGCCGGTTCCCATGGAGTCATGCAAGGGTTGGGAGGGCATATCAGAACCACTGAAGGGCAGATGTCGCTATTCAGTAGAGTAGCATTCGCAATCTTACAGACTTCGGTTGGCAGCTACGAGCGAGACGGGTGCCGAAGGTCGTCTACGCCTTCTACAGCCTCTCGCTGCTGTCCCAGCGCGGAGTGCCGCTGGTGCGCAAGGCGCATGTAACCGAACTTCAGATGTTCCAGCTGCTCGCCTGCTATCGCCTGCTCGCCTTGAATCAAATTCCCACCCGAGCAGCAACGGCATCATGCGGCATCATGTGGCCAATGCCGAGGTTTGCGATTTGTGCTTGCCATGCGCTGTGCCGGGCTTGATTGTTTCCGACTTTCTGCCTCTGCTGCTGCGTTGCTGCACTGAAAGACAAACTCTGCTTCGCTCCAAGGTTCTGCATGTACAGATTTTGGGACATGCAGATTTCGCGAGCCGTCCTCTTACTCTACTTCTTGGTCATGACGAGCGGCCTTATGCTCTACACGGACTTCCACTACCAAGCGGATGGCGTCCCGCATTACACTCCAAATCCTTGCCTTAGTCTTGCCTTCTTGAACCGCAGCTGAGGAAAGTCCGTGACAAAGCTTGAAGCCCAGAGGAAGGCACGGTTGAAATGTGTCTCTGTTCGCATGTTTACCGGCCTCAGCCCGCAGATCAGCATTGCATTCGACTCCAGTGGTTGGCTGCAGCCTGGAGCAAGAAAAGTTGGCTAGAAGTGGATTAGCTCGCAAAGTTTCGGCATGAACAAGCTTCAGAGCGTGAAGGCATGTTGTCAAATTCCGTGTGATGGATCCTGTAGCTGCTGTCCAGGCACGGCTTGCTTTCGCAGAGCCAAGGTATTGCTATCACTTCGGTGTAGCAGCTTGGCTGCGTGCCTCTGCAGCAGCTTTCATCGGTGTGCGCAGTGTGCTGTGCATGGTCCTGTTCTCTTGGAGCCGGTCCGGTCAGATCGCCAAGGTGAGCACCTGGTGCCCGACGACCTGAAACCTGAGGCGAGGCAACGGACATGTGAGACAATCTGCAGGGCACTGGAGGCTCTGTGGCTCTTGACACTAGGAGGCCGAGTCCGAGAAATTCCCGAACCACCTGGCCTTCAGCGGATCATCGGGAGCCTGGTCTGGAAGCTGTTGCCGAAGGACAGGACTCGACTGTCGGCACTTTGTGTTTCGCTGAGGCGGCGCGCTGGTGGCCACCGTCCTGTCCTGTGGTTTGCAGCCGAAGGAGGTCTTCGAAGTCGTGCTCACGTGACTCAGCAGCACCTTTTGGCGCGTTGCAGCGCGATGCCTTGGAAGCTCAGGAAGCAGCCCGAGTGTGCCTACAATCCGTTCCGGATGCTCCCCGCGGCGGAGGACGTGCTGCGCAAGATGCTGCCTGCCAACGCTTATCGACGCTTGGAAGAGGCATCTGGAGACCCTATAGAGCAGGACTGCAGGACCTAGAGCAAGAATGAAGCCAAGCCAAGGAAGCCTTTCTGGCCGCATCCGCATCTTGCTGACCCGGGTCTCCTTCAAGTTCCCCTTCTTGAGCGCAGAGGTCGTGAACAGCTTCAAGAACCAAGAAGACGTCTTCCATGCGCTGCGTTCTTCTTGCCATGTCCCGATGCTAGGCTACCGTTAGGTTTTATCAACCTGCATCACGTGGCACCGGAAGGTGCGCTCGTCCGTTCGTGATCATTGAGAGTGGTCCGTTGTAAAAGCTCTGGTGAGCCACATATTGAATTGAAAAGCAGCCCGTTTCTGCAAGACCGAGGATCATAGGCGGCATCGGGCCTTACCGTTATGACGGGCATGCCTACTTTGATGGGATGTTTTGGCCGCAGATGCTCGTCCCCTGGAAAGGCCAGACCACTTTACCGGAGTTGCATGTCATTATCAAGTGCATTGCGTTGCCAGCTTAGAAGGTCTGAACAGTTTGAACCTGATCTGACTGACGGACTGACTGACTGACTGACTGACTGACTGATTGATTGATTGATTGATTGATATGTATGTATGATTATGTATGTATATGTATATGTATTTGTATATGTATTTGTATATGTAGATGTATATGTATATGTATGTACGTATGTATGTACATATGTCAAGTACTTTGTTGTGTATCTACCAGTAGCAGGTCACTTGCTATCTTATCCCTGAGTCATCTCAATGTGATGCCATCATGGCTGCCCTTCTTGCGAAGCAAGCTACTCCTCTCTTTTCCCAGGCAATGAAGCAGACTACGTCGTTCGCGTTTCGGCTCTTCTCTCAAACCCGTCGTCGGACATCAGTGCGCCATTCTTGCCTGCCTGGTGGTGTCTTGGCATCGAAGATTCAGTGCAATTTCGTTGAAGTGCAGACATGAATAGACAGAGCGCGGGCTTGCCCCAAAAGACACCCCACACAGCACATCAGACAGGTTGTCACTCTCAGAAGTTGTGTTTGCTGCAGGGCCGTCTTCCCCCCGAAGGAGCCGATTTTGCGGGGGCTGTACTGGCGAGGCCAAACGACAAACCTGGCATTCTGTTTCGGCCTGGAAAAAACCGGGGGAACGCAAAGCGGTTTTGCCGATGTCCCCGGCGAGTGGCCTCGGTGGATTCATACTATACAACACGTCTGTCTTTTTGAGACTTCTGCAGCGTCGGTCGCGAATGACGCTTCATGTACAGCTCTGTCCCGTGTCATGAGGAAGTTCATCTTCAACTCATCACAGGATTTTGGACCATTTCAAACTATTTCATCTCGGAATGACAGGCTACCGCGATGCTGCGCGCTGGTTCAGCAGCCCGGAGGTGTCTGCCTGGTCGTGCCGGTCAGCAGCTCCTCGACAAGAAACGATAAAGGAGCCTTCGTCCCGCCCCACCCGCGCAGAGAGAATGGCTGGGCAGTGCCAAGGCCAGCGCAGAAGGTCTTCGTCGCCGGCCATCTGGCAAAGGCGGTGGTCCCGCACGAGTCACCAGACGGTACATTCTGCAGGCAACATCATGAGGGCACTTAAGTTCAGGCCGCCTCTCGCTCAAGCCAGAGGGTACCGAGGATGCCGACGGGGAGGACCGTGATCGCTGGCAGCGTCCTCAACGGATGGGTGTGTGTCGTCAAGAGATCGGGTGAGGTTAGCCTTTCTTCCTTTTTTTGGCATGCGGTGCACAGGCAGCTGCCCACAATTGTGCTGGATGCGTCATGACCTAATTCTAACGCTACGCAGCCGCCCGCCTCGGCTCCACAGTGCGGCGGAGGGGGGGGGCGGGAGGGGGCAGACGGAAGGGAAAGGGAAAACTGGAAAAAGGACAGGTCAAGGAGGGGCCAGCCGGGACGGGGGGTCGAAAATGTGCCCCAAAAGCGCATGTCAGTAAATTTTTGGGATGCAGGGAGGAGGATTAGGTGGTGGGTACTGAGTTTAACTCTGTGGTCTCGGCGGATTAGACAGCTTGCTGCCAGGTTCGAAATCCAAAAATTGCTGCTCAAGAAGCCGGACGGCCTAGTGCCAGATGCGGACCCCGCAACTGGTGCCTGGGCGCAAACGAAACGAGGCTTTGTGTGGATTACAGGAGAGGCAAGAGCGAAGCGGACTGCAATCCCCTGGTTGGTGCTTCGGAAAAGACTCTGGAAACATGCTGTCCTGATCTTACGAGGCCAAGCTCCCGAAGAGTACATCGAGCTCATGGAAGCTGCAATGAACAGAGAAAGGATGTACATTGGAGGGATGACGTTTGGATGCAGCCGAGATCGTTTTGACCCTTAAGCAAGCTGTGAGTCAGACCGGGGCTTGCATGGGTGCCCAGGTCGATGGTGATTTGCGTGTCGGTCTTCATGTGGGTCCTGGTTGGCTGGCTCTGAATTTGTGCCCGTTGTACCCGTATCACCGTTTGAACAACAGAGATGAAACCTTGTACAGCATCGAGTGGTGACAAGCTCAGTCGCACACCTGGAAGCGCTCCCGGGGTTTCATGCCAGCCTGATTCAGCTCTTGCATAGCAACAGGATGCATGCGCTTGCAAACTCGATACTAACATCCAAACTGAATACAACATGCCGCAGAGCTTTCGTGTAGCTGTACCTGACGAGTGTGCTCAAGCAATCTAAGCAAGTGTTCTTTTCAATATCAAACGATCGTATAGAGCTGGCAAACACTGTCCTGGAGCTCGCTGTGGCTGAAACCTGTCAATTCCAGGTCGCTCTTGCCAGTTGCGGCAGAAGTGTTTGTAGTGGTGAACTGCCGTTGGCAATTCCAGCCAACATGGCAGCCTCAGTCCAAGCAAAGTCTTTAGTCAGACGTTTGGGGTACAGGGAGGCGCCTCCCCTCCAGACTGAATAGACATCTTGGAAACCAGACTGAATAGACATCTTGAAAACCTCGTGTCTGCATCTGCACATGCCTCGTACATTCCGAAAGAGACAATACCTGCCCGCCGCCTGCCTCAAAACAGCTTCATGCGATGTGGTAGACAGGGCGCATGGCATTCACAGCCGGATTCCCATGCATTCTGGGGCTATCAGGCCTCCTTCCACAATGTCGTCACTCGCAGCAAACTTCGAGGCAAGGGCTTGGGTCACATGAAGTCTCCGCCCGGGCGGCCACGGCCAAAGTTGAGGCCCGGGAGGCAAAAGGAACCACCAAGCCACACCAATGCCGACACTGACCTACAGACGTTGACCCATCCTATAGGCCTCGAACTCCTTGTTTGGACTCCCCGAAGACTCCGAACATTCTCTGGCCGTCAAGAGCGGCACATCGCTGGGTGTTGGCGTCTAGCCGCTGCTGTCGTCACCTTCAGCTCACTGGCTGCAGTGTCCCGCATTTCAAGATGGTGATTTAGTAGGGGCCGCCGTGTACATTGGATCTTGTGGATGTTCCATGTACTCGTCCGCCAACGGCCCAATGCGACAGCTGCCTCAGACTGGCCGAGGAGGGCCGTTGTTGAGGTCCATCGCCACGTGTGTCCGTGCTCTTGTGGGTTGTCCTTGGCGGGCGATGGCTGGCAGCATTGAGGTACATGCAGAAAGCCTGTTTTGGCATGTGCTGCCACTGGCCTTGCAAGCGGGTTCAAAATTTTGGATTGTCCGAGATCTTCATGTCAATTGCCCGGAGGATCCTGCAAACTCGCTGCATGCTCTTGCCGACTGTTGCGTGATGACGAATTGTGCCTGCGACCAAAGCTCGTTTTCTCTAACAACGGTGAGGGACGAGCCACACGGTAGGTTTATGACGTGGGTCCAGCCGAAAGTTCTTGTCATGAAAGGACACGAGTTGAAGGGCGAATGAAAGTGCATGTGTGGCGCTGCGCCTCTGGGCTCAGCCAGTAGAGACGGGACAGGGCAAGAGCCGGCCCGGTCGCTGAAGCCTCGGATTTTGAGTGCTGGACACTGCAAGCTGCAAGCTGTGCACGGGTATGACAGGCCATGCAGAACATGTCGGCCACAGGCAGGCTGCCCTCAAATTCAACATGTCGGGCGGCTCACTGCAAGCACAATGCCATCGCACTGTGTCTTGTCAAACAGCGTGTGCTACGCATTGCTACGCTAGAATTTGTGTTGTCGTGCATGATGTGGGCTGTCTTCTTAGTATGCCTTGTGCCTGCTGAGCGCTGCCACACTCGTTGGAGGGCCGGGAGGGTTCTTGGTCCGGCACAGAGACTTGGAAGAGTCTCGAGCAGCGACTGCGAGTTTTGTGAGTCTTTCAAGGCTAATTCGTTCCAGTCGTGCTGGTTTCTCTCGTCATAGGAGATTGGAGTGACAGTCGGCAGTAGCCTGGTTCTGGATGCGGAAGGCCAGATGTACCTGAACTATGGCCAGGCCTCGCTGACACAGGATTTGACGTAGCTGCCCAGTGAAGATCTGATGGCAGCCTGCTCTTTCAAAAGCACATGCGAACCAACAAGTCGCAACAGCGTGCTCCCTTCGCGACAAGCAAATCGTCATGTCCAGGTGCTGCCGAAGGGCACTACCCAGGCACAACTGCATCGGAAAGTGGATGCTCGTTGTTTGCAGAACACTGTGCGACCCAGCCCATCCCACATTTAGTGAATGCCGTTCAGCAGTAAATGAATCTCATCTCGTAGTTTGTGTTACAGTGGCGAAGAAACATGCTGCCTGTCTTGTCTGCCAGTCTGCGAATGCATAGATTCTGAGGCAGGAGCTTGTGTTTAAAGTGCACAGGGATTGCCAAGACTTTGCAAGGTGTCAGCTTTGCTGGACATGGCTGCAAGACTGAAGGCTGACTGGGACAATGAATCAGAATTTTCCAGAGCTGATACAGCAAGCATGCAGCCAGCTGTGGCAGACTTCGGGCGATTCCCGTGGTGCTGCAGAGAAGTGTTTCGAGGTGCTCAGGCGCGCCTTTCAGCGTGCCAGCAGGGCATCATGAAGTCTTGGCACGCCTCACGGCCTTGCGCTCTCGCGAACTAAGTTTGGACCCCGAGAACTTCCAGGGCCATCTCAGCCTCGGCACCTTGTACTTGGCAGCCGAGACCACAGAAACAGCAGAGAAGAGCGCCCCAAAGCGCCCCTTAGACCAGCTCTAACGCTTTTTCAAGGCTGGTGACTACGCAAGAGCTTTGGAGCATTCGGAGAAGGCGGGCTTCGAAGTTCGTTTTTTGTTGAGGAGACCGAAAAGCTTGCAGGCCTACAAGTTGGATCAGCGATCCACAGAGGCCACTGTAGATCTTTCGCTTGAGAATGCCGCGCTGGCAAGCCGACAGGCCATGAACAATATTGGCGCAGTCTGCAGACAGCAAGGGAATTACCAGGCGACCATTTGTGTCATCGGCTGCCACGTTGCAGCATCAGCCGACTGGGATTTGGTTTGACGTCTCAGGCTGCTGCAGATTGGCATCGTGCTGCGCTGAGAACGAACCCGAACTGTGAGTGCGGGCCTTGGGCAGCAAGGGCACCAAACCCAAAAACACTTGTGATTCGAAACTTGGACATCCGGCTGAAACTTTGGTCGGTGTGAACGCGTGCGGGAACGCGTGCTTTGCCCAGGACAACTCCGATGAATTTGGCAGTTTGTTTGATCAACCACGGGCTACACCTGAAAGCGCTCAGACCTTATGCTGAAGGGTGCTGTGCCACTGCAGACTGAGGGTCATGTAGATTGCAATATTTGCTTGCATGTCTGTGCAAGATTACTTAGTCGGTTTAGTTGGACCTTCTGAGCTGGGTTGTGCGGCTTGAGCTAAAATCGTTCTTGAGGTCGGACCCAAAGGGTGCCATCAGATGCTACACAGAAGCCTGAACCTAAGCAGCTGACCAGAGCTGAAGCAGGCACGGAGAAAGGGGCTGAGACAGCTTTGTGCAGCTTTCGTCCCTCTGACTGCTCATTGTCTTGAGTTCGGATTGTGGATTCAGCATTATACGTGCTTGCCGTCCCTTCGACGTTCGAGCACTGCAGCGAATCAATTTCATGACACCCCGGTGTGCGCAGCCTACCGAGGCGCTGGTTCATTGCCCAACCAATGCGAATGCAGCGTGGCTGCAGCGATTCAAGAGTGTGACATCAAGAATGAGTACGTATCCACGTTGCAAACGTGCTGACTGCATGCTTTTGCGCTGTCTGGAAAGGCATATTACAATTTGGGCGTGTCCTACGCAGAGATGCACAAGTACGACAAGGTGCAGCTTGGACGAGCCGAGACATGTAGAGCCGGGTGCGTCTGAGAGGCTCTTATCAACTACCAGCTCACGGTGCACTTCGATCCACGCTGTGCTGAGGCGCGCGCGCGCGCGGCCTGCGAGAGATGCGGGGCGCATGCGTCCGCCTCAGTGGGCCCGGCGGCCGACCCGCGCGTCCGACCGCCGCGCGCGCATTCGTGCATCTGGCCAAGCGGCCACATAGTTCGAAATGTCAAGTAAGTCATTCGCAAGCATCATGGCGCTGCGAAGCATGTAAGAGTGTTTCAGAATATTGTCACACTTCCATCCGAAACTTTACAGCCGAGGGTTACAAGCACCGCGATTGCGATTCCCCTAGAACGCGCTCTGACTCCAGTTCCGTTCACATCTGTGTCCGCAATGAAGACGGTCGGGGATGTCTGGCATAGTTGCAGGATGGTCGGCTGATGAGCATGCCACGATGTTCGCCGTGCCAGCAAGCTAGCTCAGCGATATGATTCATAAGATGCTTGTAGTGACGTGGCGGAAGTCTTGAGGTTGACATGGACCTTGATGGATTGTCCGAAGTACATGCTTTCCAGAGCTGGGAAGGACTATGCCTTTGGACACAGAGTCGGGTTGCCACAGCCCTGGTTCGTTTGTCGCTTCGAGAAGATGGCCTTCGTACTCCGAGCCGTGCCGGCAGCTTGTGTGCCGTCGGCTCGATGCAAGCACCACGCTGCCAGCAGCTGCCAAAATCTCCCGGGTATTGCGGAGCTTCTGGAAAAGAGAAGTACAGAGGACCCTGGGCAGCGGTCTAAAGACCCTGTCGCGAAGTTGATGCAAAAGGGCCTATTGGTTTAGTGGGGTCTGGTTTTTGATTTGGAAATGGAGGCCGTCGCGCAAACAGGGCTTTGTATTCTGCTTGTTGGCGCTAGTATTGTGCTAGCCTGACGCTAGTACTTTGTGAGGAGGTATATTGTCATTGTCATGACTATCCAACCCTATTGTAAAGGTCACTCGGTGGAGATAGACTTGAGGTCTTCCCTGCATGGTAAACTGATTTTTAGAAGGAACCGTCTGTTTCCTTGGACGGGTGCGCATCTTTCACGCCCACGGGTGCCCGGCGACTATGCTGTGCAAGGGTTGGCATCGTGATTGCTGGCCACGCTAGGTCACAAAACCTCTCGCTTCGCCGCAGGTGTGCGCACATGTTCCAAGAGCCTCTGTCTGACTCCATCTGCTGGTGCGACAAGGGCGAATGTCATCATCATTTTCATCATCAGCATCTGCGTCGCGATTATCAGCATCATCACTATCATCATAGCTATTAGCACCTGCTATTAGCTGCCATTATCATCAAGACTCAGCGAACAATGATTATGAGCATGGGCAATCCGCGCTAGCCGTGCGCTGGCTCGGCGCCAGAGCCGTGCTAGCGGAAACCTCGTTCGTGATGCCTGGCCCATCCTCAGCAGGGATGTGAGATTCAGCCATGAATCAAGCTTCACTTCCTCATTGTTTATTTCGCCCACAGCCCCGAGAAGGTCATGATAAGCCCTGAAGAAGCTCGACTCGAGATAAGCCCATAAAAAGTTTAAGCGGCTCTTGAGGGACCTCTTTCAAGAATGCGTAGACCCTTCCAAGGCTGAAGCCAGCCCAGAGGCCCATTGAAGCTCAAAACCTGGCGTTGACGAGCCTTCCACATTTCCTTACATGTGGCCAGCGGTGGCAACATGTCATGATTTTGCAGTTGAGAAGTTGAAACATTGTATTATGTGGCGGTATTGGTTTTCATCCGACGACACAATTTAGGTCCATCCAGGAGCAGTAACAAATATACGTAAGATAATATAAGAAATTGGACAACAAGATGTGGACCCTCGAACCGTCAGCTTGTTAGTGTTCTCATGTTTGAGTCTCCGGGCTTTCGGGCAGTGGGCATCCCTGCAGGCTTACAACAACATGGGCGTAATCTTCAAGGAACAGGAGAATCTCGACAAGGCCTAGGGCCTAGGGAAGGACACTGGAGTGAGATGGTTGCCACATTTTCATGCTCGGCACAGGCTCTAAAGTATTACCACATGGCCATTCAGTGCAACCCGCGATTTGCACAGACTTTGAACAATCTAGGCCTGGTCCTCAGCGGCTTGTGGAAGCACAGCACCGTCCGCGCCTATCCGGATTTGTGCTCAGGTGTGGCTTACACCACGTCGGGAAGGCTGACTGAGGCAACGTGCGACTCCTCGTGCTGTTTGGTTTTCGGCCGTTGCAAACTCTCGCTGCATCAGATCGTGACTACTGCAGTTCTGCCCTGATACCAGAAGTGCCATTCGTGGAAGCCCCATGAAAGGGGCATGGTTTGTGCAGGCGCTTGAGTACCTGTCAAGGGCGGTCGCAGTGGCTCCCAACTACGCCGAAATCTTGGATCACTTTTCAGCCATTGCCGGCACAGAGATGTTTTGCAGTCGGGCTGCATTCGAGGCCGAAGCATACAACAACTTGGGCTGGCTTTTCTGGGACCATGGAGACCTAGCACAGGCCTGCAAGCTGACAGCGCAGCCATGCACAATTCATGCCCTCAGGCTTATGGTGCGGGTCTGCGTGTCGAGACACGAGTTGTTTGAAAGGGAGTTTGAAAGAATCTTGAATAGCCCTGCCATTTCTTGAAGTGAATCCCCGCTCAAGCCTGGACTTTGTACAGGCTTTGCGCATGTACGAGCGCTGCATCGAGCTGTCCCCGACGTCCAAAAACCCTTCACAGAATCGCCACTCGGTGTTCTTTTGCGCACACCGGAGCCGCCATTCTGTTGGTCGGTGGCTGCCTGTGACAGCTCAGGTTTACTGGCATTGAATTATTTGCCTACGCCTGAGCGCAATATTCATTGTGCGAGTCAGTGCAATTGGCCGTATCCCATCACATGCTTGGCTTGAATTCGGATAGGTCAGGTAGGTTGTTGCAGTATTTATTGGAGCAGGATCCATCCAGGGCTGCCTTGTCGCAACCACGACGACGTAGCAGTCACATACTGTATGATATGTTATGTCCTACACAGAGCTTCGACGATCAGGCATGGATTGTCCCCAGACCTTGTCTTTCAGGCGCTGCCCTGCCGCCTGCTTTCTTGTGTGATGCATAATGATGCATACCTATACACACACACACAGAACTGCTCATGTACACAAAGGTCCTGATCTCAGACGTGAATAACATCACGCTCTACACTGAGGAACTGGCCCATCAAGCATCATCACTCAGCTCAGGGGCTTTTGAAGTCCCATTGCAGCTTGGGTTGCCGACAGGCACACAAGCACAAACACAAAGAGACGCGCGGACAAACACGCACCCACCCACCCACCCACCC